CTCACAGAAGGGAGGAAGGAGGGAGTCACATTTGGAGACATGAAAAGTGGGCGGTAACGAAGTGGTAGCTGGTGGAGACAAGGTATCTCAGGACAAGCCATGCTGGGACAGAGACGAGGCTGCTGGGTGATCAGCGACGAGGGGGTAGCTCGAGGAGGAAGTATCGTTCAGAGTCGCTAGTTGTAATTCGAGCTCCCAGAGGCGAACCTCAGTGTCCATGCGTTTCAGTTCTATTTCATGGCAGAGCTTTTGCTCATGAGCTTTCTCCTCAGCATCAATCTTTAAGCGAGCCAAGCGCAGCTTCAATCGAGCTCCGCTAAGTGGAGTACGGGGAGAACTTGCTCCAGACGAGTCAGAAGCCGGAGGCGAGCGGTCAGCTGAGGAAGGCGGAGCTGAAGCGAGGGTCTCCCTCTTCTGGATGAGCTGGCCTTTTTCCTCATCCGAGGGCGGCGGAGACACACCAGGATTGGATGGCGAAGGGAGGATTCCCTGAGTTTCTAGATAATCCACCACCAGTTGTCGTAGAGCAGCCTTGGTTAGCTGCTTCACCAGAGGGAGACTGAAGCGGGTGGCAACCTGCTGCAGGTCGGCTTTGCGGCAACTCTCCGGCAGCCGGCCCGAGGGAGCCTCCACAAACGCAGACAGGTCAAAGGTTGCCATCTCTGGCTCTAAGGGACACAGACACAAGGTTAATAATTTTATACGCACCTAGAAATGTCGGGAAAAGATGGTCAATAAGTAAAAATCCCGGACGAGCCCCCATGTTATTATGTCCCCAGCTCTTTAGGAGAGATGAGGTAGGAGAAATAATAAAAGTGGTGCATGGGATAAATAATAACAGAGTGCAGTGTCGCAATAAAACAGGAATTTTATTACAAAAAGGAATATTTACAAAGGACGTTATAATTATCTATGTACAAAATAAAAAGGAGTTAAATACAAAAAGGAGATAACGAAAAACGCCAACCCAGAAGGGGATGGGGTAAACAACCGGAAAGGAGGAAGAGCTTTTCTTTTTCAGGAAAGTTCTGGGGGATATCCTAAATCGAAGTGAGAAAAACGTTCCTAAGTCAGAAAGCCAAATTGTCCAAGCCTACAAATCCAAATCCAAAATCCGAGCGTGTGTACTGATGACTAGCGAGCGAACAAGTTTTTACCAAAAAGCAGACGAGGAGAAGAGAATAGTACAAACTCCAGAAGAGTCTATACTACCCTGTACCTTCTCGCTAAATGGAAGGTGAGGCAAGCCTTTTATCTGAGTGACCAGGTGATGACAATAACGAACAGCTGCGGGGGAACCGGATGAGGAGGGAGCTGCGGGGGCCATCTAGTGGCGAGCGTACGTAACACATGGCGACCGTAGATCAAGGCAGATCAAGGAAGCGCAATTTCACAGAAGCAGAAACTGAGGTACCTGTGGGTGAGGTGGAGAAATGAAAGGAAGTGCTTTTGCAAAACAAATAAGAGAATATCCACGCAGTGGCACAGCGTTGCTGAAGCCATCGATGCTGAGTTCTTCAGAGAGATTTGTGGCAGATATAAAAAAAAAATGGTCCAATCGGAATTCGATCCCCAGACTCCCAGGTGAAAGTCGCGCTAACCAGTCAGCCAAACAGAGATCTCCCTTGTCCTAGTTGGCAGGGCACGTGATCAATCGGGTCACAGTGACAGGACACACACTGTCACAGACGCATGACATTCTGTCTCAATCTGTCCCCCTGCTGATATTCTGCATTCTGTATTCTGCACTTCGGGCTGTGTGTGTGTGTGTGTGTGTGTGTGTGTGTGGGGGGGGGGGGGGGGGGGGGGGCTCATTCTGTGTGAAAACGAAGCGGTACAAGTGATAATGCTGCAGGATTTCATAATTTTATCCTTCTCAGCAGCAGCACTGCAGGTGCTCTCCATGTCCAACATGTGTGTAAGCCAGGTCCTTAGTCAACTTAAAGTTGCGCACATTTTTCTGCTGAGTTTTCTTTCATAAATCCCAAAGTTTGCGTGGAAAGTTGCTTACGCAGTTTTCCGACCCCTTTTAGTGTGTAAGCAAGCTTGATAAATGAGGCCCCTGCTGATTAAAATCAGGTGTTTTAAGGCAGGGCAACCTCTACAATGGGCTGGATAGTGGCTCTCCAGGACCAGGGTTCTCTACCCGTGGTCTAAGGGGACCGGAGACTTGGGAGAAGGGACAGGGAGGACAAGGACACCTAGGAGGAGAGAGAAACATGGAATGAACTAAAGACAAGGGACACGGGGCGTGACATTAACAAAGCCTAGCGCTGTTCCTTTGATCCCTACAACGTGTTCAAGCTTTTCTAAAAGAACATTGTGATCTACTGTGTCAAAAGCAGCACTGAGATCTAACAAGACTAGAACAGACACAAGATTCTTATCTGAGTCCATGAGAATATCATTTGTAACTCTCACTAATGCAGTTTCAGTGCTGTGATACTCTCTAAAACCAGACTGAAATTCCTCAAACAGATCATTAGTGTTTAAATCCTCACATACTTGGATGACCACTATTTTCTCCAGGACTTTGGATAAAAATGGAAGGTTAGATATTGGTCTATAAATCATTGGGTCATCTGGATCCAGAGAATGCTTCTTAAGTGAAGGTTTGATTACAGCAACCGTAAAATCCTGTGGTACATACCCACTTACTAAGGATAGATTGATTATTTCTAGAATGGGGGCAGTAACCAAAGGAAATGCATCTTTAAATAATTTGGTTGGGATTGGATCTAAAATGCAAGTGGAAGGTTTAGATGAAGCTAATATTTTTGATAACTCTGAAAGCTCAACTGGATCAAAATGGTTCAAACACAGATGAGGTTCTACAGTTACCTCTGATGCTGCCTCACTTACTGAGGAAGAAGAAATCGCATTAGGGAGGATGCTCATGATATTGTTTCTAATAGAATTAATTTTACTTGTGAAAAGTCCCATGAAGTCATTGCTGCTGAGGGCTAAGGGAATAGATGGTTCAGAGCTATGATTCTGTGTAAGTTTGGCAACTGTACTGAAAAGAAATTTAGGATTATTCTTATTCTCCTCAATTAGCAATAAAAAATAAGCAGTTCTAGCTTGTCAAAGCTTATTTTTATAAAGCACAAGACTATTTTTCCAGGATAAGTCACACAGACCTCACAAGGGTGCAGGCCAGTTTGTTCCTCAGCCAAGTTGTACCTTTTCAGTTCTGCTCCATGTTTTAACATTATCCGTGCGACCTCTGACCCTCTGCTGCTGGTGTGGTGCTGCCTTCACTGTTTTTGATCTTTCCAAAGTTTTATCCTGCAATATTAGATTTTGATCTGTAGAGTGGTAAATGTAGTGCTTTTAAGCTTAACATTTTACCTTTACTTATGACCAATAAGCTGTGATACTCTATATAAATATAGAATATCACAGTGCTTGGTCTTTGAATGTTTAATCAGAAGATTTAGAATTCTTTATTTATTCAGGGATCGTAGAACACTTTGTATTGATTCAAGAAGAGTCAGGTTTATAAAAAGTAAGAATTTATTTTCCAAACAATTAAAAACATGACAAGTTAACTAATATTACTGTGGATGGATGGATCTAGGTGGATGGAATGTGATGTATGGTGACTATGTGTGAATATGAGGTTATCAGAACTTTCGTATCTAGAAGGTCTGAGTTCTGGGTGTAAAAAGGAAAGAATTTGATTTGCATTAAGCTACGAAGTTGGTTCTTATCAGAAAGGCATCAGACGCAATCTGTGTGTCTACCTCACCCTTTCTTTGGAGACCCTCTTCGTGGATCCGAAGGTCAGGGAGGTCGGATGACCTCTGGACACCGAGGTTTGTAGAATAACCGCAGCACCGACTCTCCAGTCCAGAGATGTTTCCGGGTTACAATAGATGTATGGAACTGTTTGCGTCTAGGGCTCTTAGGGAGTTGGAACAGTATCAGCGTTGTTCTGCAGGAACCGTTTGCTGTGTCAGCGGGTGGCAGCTTTTAGCAGGCTTTTGACAGCTTGCCAAAAATGCTCTGGGTTAAAGAGGTTTCGCTCCGGACATTCGTTCCGTAGATTTCTCTAGAACTAACTCACCGTGAAGTGAGCTCTGTTTTAATATTCTCATATTATGATTTCTTGTCCAATCGGAACGTGCCGTATTAAGGGATATTACCAAGAATCTCAGAACATCACGCCTTCTTTCAGATACGGATGCTCTGATTTGGGGTAAGGAAATTTCTGTGTCATGAGTTTAACTTAACTTTAATTTATCTCTAGTGAACCTTGTGTCTGAGTGTAGGTGATGATTGCATTGTCACATCAAACATTACTGATTACCATATATATAAATCATTCAATGTAATAATTCATTCATTTCAAACTTCAGTATTTCAAACAGATCAGTCAACCTTATTGATTTAAGCACAGATTAATGAAGACATTATTGTTATTATTTCATGAAAGTTTAACTCATATGAGGTGAAAACAGTCACTCTTATAACAGTCCAGTCTGGTCTCGATAACCAGGCAGGCTTAGAACAGAAGGACCTTGAGAAGGGAAGTTTGTTGACAAGACATTATCACGTATTCTGAGCTGCAGAGAGGCCCGGACTCCAGCTGATGGAATGGCAGGATCCGGCAGATTAAAGGCAACACATGTAGACTTCTGTCTCCATGTAGACCAGATACTGAAGGGGTCAAACTGTGCATGAAAACTGACCATTTGTGGACATTACAGATCAAAACTGGGCTGCATGGTGGCGCAGTGGTTAGCACTGTTGCCTCGCAGCACGAAGGTCGCAGGTTCGAAACTCGGCTGCGGCGTGGGTTTCCTCCGGGTACTCCAGATTCCCCCACAGTTCACAACATGCGCTACAGGTTAGAAATTGTAAGTCGCTTTGGATAAAAGCGTCTGCTAAGTGAATAAACATAAACATGACAAAACGGTTTAGCTAAAAAAGCGAAGTCTTTGTGTCCAGCCTCTGTTTTGAAACATGGATGTAACTGGATTTATTTTGTGCTACAGCACCTGGGGGAACTGGTGATCGGACTCCTGGCCAGGGAGCTGCAGCCTTCCTGTTTGCTGGCGTGTCTAGAGACTATCCGAATCTTGTCCAGGGACAAATATTGTCTGGATCCTTTCATCTCCTGCTCAGCCATGTCCATTCTGTCCCGCTATGCTGGCATTGCCACAACTTGTCCATCCTTACTGCCCCAAAGCGCATGGGTGGAGGGTCAAGGTAATTACTGAAGGTTGTTTAAGATTAGACCACATTACTACCTTACAGGGTAGTGGGACCCTTTGCTGTCTTTCATAATGGAAAGAGTATTGATACAGAATCATTGTAAAAGACAAATGATGAATAAACCACTCGGTCGTTGTCGTAATAGCGCATCAATGAAGTCAAAACGCAGCATGTGAAAACTGGATTATGAACAAACTACTATAGAAACACTTGACTGAGCTTCTGACATGTCTAAACAAAACACAGTAAGAATCTCAGTGAAGCATTATCAAACTAGAAATAATCATAAAACCTTCTTCAACCTCCAGCAGAACTAAACCTGGGATAGACGGCCTTCAGCCTTACACCAGCCCGTTGTCAGGACCAGTATGGAAACCACTCCCTAGTCTTGGTTCTTGAGAATATTTGTAGAGACTTTATCCAAATCTGTTCCTGCTGGACTGCATGGTGGTGCAGATGGTGGAACTATGGCCTTGCAATAAAAAGGTTGCAGGTTCAACACCTGGCTGTGGTCTTTATTGAGCTCTTAATCGCAGCTGAAGTCTCGTAATTTAGAAATCTTCAAATTCACCTCTCACTCAGGTCAAAGGGCGAGAGGTGAGTTAGAGAGAGAAATTAGTACCAATAGATCAGAGCATTCGAGAAAACCACGTAGTGTTTTTTTCTTAGCACAAAAATAAAAATGAAAGGACCAGAATACATTTTTATAAAAGTTGTCTTTTCCCAGCAGTTTGTCTGTTTGGAGGTCAGTGTGATGGCCTCCAGCTATTAGTTCTCCTGCCTTCTTCATGTTACTCTTTCATAAATAATCAGTCTGAACTTATAACCACTCAGGTTGTTTTTCTTGATAGTAGAGGATGAAGAGGGGGCAGAGAAGGAACCCTGCTCTGCTTTGGAGAACTCGGATCAAGAAGTAATTGTTGAGGCTCTGAAGTCAATCTGTAACATCTTGCTTCACAATGAGACGGCTCAGGTGGGTTGCTGTGAATTACAGATTAAGACATTATGTGACTGGCTCTGTTCTATGGATTGTGACCGGTGTCCATGCTGGATGGATGACAGGTTCGAGCGGCTGAGCTGCAGCTCATTAAAGGTGTCGCTGAGAGGCTGAAGCAGTGTTACGATCCCACCTGGGGCTACGAGGTATCTGCATCAATCTTAAACAATGACCCGCACTTGTATAGCACCTTTCTGAGTCAGAGGACACCAAAGCGTTTTACACTGCATCACATCATTTCACCCTGTTACTAATCTTTGACGTCCAGATCTTTTTGTGTGCACGCCTTGTATATGCAGGTGCATTTTTTTGACCTGCGCCTCACCTTCCTGCTGACTGCGCTGAGGTTGGATGTCAGAGCTCAGCTGGCTCAGGAGCTTCATGGCATCAGACTTCTCGGTAACACCATGGAATTGTGCTTTGTGTGGTTGGTCTCAAATGAACATTTATCTCCTTTGACCAAGTTCCCTTACAAACCCTGTTTACTTGTTAGTTTTGAAACTTAATTGGTCATTCTGGGTTTAACAGGCAGGATGAACGTGAAAATAGTCTTTTACCCGTATTTCCTGGTTTAGCCACTGATAGGTAATAGAATAGCCACTCAGCTCTACATCAAACTTGTGCACAAAGTTGGTGTGTGTGTGTGTGTGTGTGTGTGTGTGTGGTGTGTGTGTGCTCTGTCTTCTCGATCCCCAGTGAGTCGTGGAGGATGGCTGCTTATACTGAGCCAGGATCCTCTGGAGGTTTCTTCCTGTAAAAAGGGAGTTTTCCTCTCCACTGTTGCTAAATGCTTGCTTAGTATGAGAATTGCTGTAAAGACTCTGAGACTAGTCAGTGACTCGATGCAACCTGCTGGGTTCCTTATATAGGAAACATTATTTCTGATTGGCTTAATGAACTGACCTGAATTGGAATGTTTACTATGTGAAGTGCCTTGAGACGAGTCTTGTCATCATTTGGCGCTATATAAATAAACTTGAATTGAATTGAAAATTAGGACTCGTGGACTCGCCCATCTTGCCTTGTGAAGGGAAGGCTGTTGTTGGTTTAGCATCCAGGAAACAGCAATGAACATCTCGGCTGACCGTTAGCATTAGCAACTCCAACACACAGCAGAACTCCTCCAAGCTTGTGTTATTTGTGGAGATAAACGCTCGGAACCGCTGGAGGAGATAATGCAAAGAAGGATTCTCCAGAGAATCAAGAAAATTATGGACAACCCTGAGCATTCTCTTCACAAGACTGTCCGACAACAGACAAACAGAGTCAGTGGTAGAGTCACACTGCTGTTAGCCAATCAGACGCAAGGTTTCTAAGTATCAAAAAGTAAGACTTCAGAACCCGTCGTCTTCTGCTCCCCATTACTTTTACTTACTGAAACAGGAACGCAAGAGCCTTTGTCCCAGAGACCGACTCACCAGACAATAATTCATACTACTGCAGATCTGGGAAAAAGGAGTGAACTTGGCCTTTAACGCTGAGCTCTAGGGAATATCACTGGGAATTCTGGTGAACTATATGACTAGTTATATGTTATTTACAGCAGCAGCAAAATGTAACGCGTTAGCAGTTTTACTCATGCAGAAAACTGACAGTAGTTGACACCTTCTTTAAATGATGTTTCTTTAAACTGCTGTGAATGAATATAGCTGTTTTATTATGAAAATAATTAAATTTGTAGTTGGGTCCAACCAGATTAAACAACTGGCTTGTCTGAATGGACCAACATCTAAAATGTGTTGCTGCTATCTTAAATCTGTTTTGATTGCTTCTACAACTTGTGTATGAGAACAGTCCTTTGTCTTTTTCTCTAACTGTTGTATCTTATCTTGTCTGTTTTTGATCTAATCTATCTGTTTTTCTTTGGTGCAAAGCTAATTAAGTGTCTGTCGCTGCTGCCGTTGGGCCAGATCGTCATTGCGAATGAGAATGAGATCACAATCGACTCATCTGGTTAAATGAAGGTTAAATAAATCAAATCAAATAAATAAACTGCTCTAAATGTAAGTTTATCCATGACATCCTTTAAAGAAAACCTTTCTGTCACCAAGACACTAATCCCATCATCATGGAGCAAATCATCATCAAATATAATGTTATTTTAACAAACCGAAAGTAATCACACAGGCATCAAAACATCATCTTTCATTAAACAGGCTAATTACAAAAAGAAAAAACAGCATCCTGTTCTGTGTGTGTTTTAGGCAACCAGCTGGATGCTACGTTGGGTCTGTGTTGGCCAGAAACCCTGGAGACAGCAAGGGCCGGGTTTGAAGGTACCCCCCCTGAAGAACTGCCCCCACTGAGCAGGGAGCAGACAGAACTAGCTGTGGAAATTCTGAAAATACTATTTAACATCACATTTAACACAAACAAATGCAAGGTTGGCGAGGTAAGAGGAAGGATGACATCGTAAGGAGGTATCTGTTGGCTGTGAATGTTATTTTAGTAATCATTAGAGTGAGTGAAGTCATTTTTGTAGGCTAAATAATTCTTCTCTGCATGCGTGCATGTATCTTCAGGAGGAGGCTGAGGAGTTCCGACATCTGGGAGCCATCCTGAGACACTGTCTGTTGAGTCATTCAGATGGAGAGGAGCGGACTGAGGAGCTCCACAGGTTGAACAATCTCCACAACATGGCTGCTCTTCTTTCTTAGACCACCCTGCTCACATATCTTCTGTTTTCAAAGTCACACAGTGAATTTGCTGGGGAACCTTCCTCTGCCTTGTCTGGATGTGTTGTTGATGCCCAGAGTGCAACAAGGCTCCACTGAGTACATGGGGGTCAACATGGATGCCGTCAACATGCTGTTGGAGTTTATGGAGACAAGACTTGATCGGGTAAGTTACGCCTTTAGTGCTATTGTCCACACCTTGACCCTGGTACAGGGATCTCATCTGTTAAACAGAATTCTTACTAAAACCTTGCATACGTTACTAGAAGTCATTTTCTAACCTGTGGAACACTTAATACACACAGCTGCACGCAACTCCAGCTTCATCAATCACACTCTTCCTACAAATGCGCTCAGGTGGTTTTTTGGATCAGAGCCCGCCTCCATATCCACTTTGAGTCATACATGCTCAATGCAACATACCTCATGAATACTCTACAAATGCCCGAGCTACCAGGGCGGTGGCATTTTGATGAGATACCCGGTCTAAGAAGAACCTTTAATTGAACCCAAAAGGGCTTTAGGCAGGCTGATATTTTGTTCAACATGTCAAACAAATATCAGCCTGCCTGTCACTTAAATCCCACTAGAACAGGCTGGTAGCAAGAAACCCGAGATTGGTCAAAAGCTGCAGCTGGGATTGCTTGTTACAGTGGGCCGGTGGCGCTAACCCTGGTTCCAGTTCTGCACATGGCTCTAATAGGAATACAGTATCAAACTGGGGTACCCACACACCCAGAGATCCACAAGCCAACAATTATGGGTCAATGAAACACCATGTGGACACCGAGGATGGACTGCATATGTGTGGACGGTTGAGCTAATTATCATAACGGACAAATATTTAGATGTGTCCAATTTATCTTGTTATGAAGTCAAACCAGCTAAAATGAGAAAATGGGACAAACATTGTCCACAGTTTGGCTTTTGAACTGAATATTGTTCAGGAGTTCTTCAGCCCAAAGAACACACAGCTATGATGGCGTCAGCAAAGGCGGCGTTAAGATGGAGGATCGCTTCAGCAGAAGCAATCTTTAGAAAGGAGGCCCTTGGAGTAGGACCTTGCATGTACTCTGGTGTGTTAAATGACTTCATAATCATTCAACAAACTAATCAAAACAATAAATATTCTGATTCTGAAATTTGGGATTAGCATTATCAGTAGACTCCTTCCATATCCTTCACCCTTAAAAAGGTTCTGGTGGGTGGACCTGAGGGCTCGGGTGGTGGGTGGACCTGAGGGCTCGGGTTGGAGCATAAGGCTTTAACAGTTCAGTAATATAGGTGTCATGTCAGAGTTTAGTTTTCTAACCCACATGCAGAATCAGAGCCGGAGACGAAGGTAAGAAATATTTTTTTTTAATTAAACAATGATGAGAACGGAGATTCACTCTCGAGGAAGCTCTGACGTTAAAGGGCAGAATCTGACGGGAGAAAAAGATCAGGGAGATGAGGAGCTGGTAACGGGAGAGGAATTGATGCAAATTGAAACAGTCTTACTTTAGAGAGGAGATCCGTAGATGCTGAGGAGGGAGTGGGTCAGGCCTGAGGTGGAGGGGAGCTGAAGTAGGGTCCAGATCTTGAAGGCGAGTAATGGAGATAATATTTACCAAGACATTGAGCGAGGCAGGCGGGGGGTGAGAGTGAGTGGGAGAGCCGGCCGGCAGAGCAGAACGAGACGAGGTGGGTAAAAATCCTTAGGTTATGGCTGGAGAGGTGGTGAGAGTGAATATCTGCTGAGGAAAGTTAGAGATCACAAGAAGTACAAAAAATCACAAAGAGAGCTCGAGATTTGGTCGTGTACCCAAACGAGTTAATCATCCGACGTCGTGTAGGTCTCAGACTGCTCCTTTTATACCAGCCGGTGATTGCAGCTGAATGGCTGCAGTCGGGCAGCTTTCCGACGCCGCCCACCTGCAGGAAAGAGGTTAGTCTGGAGAATAATATACCTCAGGCCGTGACAATAGGGAGGAGCCTGACCATGTAGAGCCCTGAAAGTTATAGCCAGGACTCCAAAATGAACTCTAAAGTTAACAGGTAACCAGTGCAGATACATCAGAATAGGAGTGAAGAGGGTAGCCTCCCTCTGTCTACATGTGGGGGGGATGGGTTCTGACTGTGGTCTGTGCTTATGCACCAAACTACAGTTCAGACTACCCACCCTTTTTGGAGACCTTGGAGGAGGTGCTGGAGAGTGCTCCTTTCGGTGACTCCCTCGTTATGCTGGGGGACTTTAACGCTCTCGTGGGCAACGACAGTGAGACCTGGAGAGGTGTGGTTGGGAGGAACGGCCCCCTGATCTGAATTCGAATGGTGTTTTGTTATTGGACTTCGGTGCCAGTCATGGATTGTCCATAATGAACACCATGTTCAAACATAAAGGTGTCCATATGTGTTCTTGGCACCAGGATACCTTAGGCCGCAGCTCGATGATCGACTTTGTTGTTGTTTCATCTGACCTGTGACCGCATGTCTTGGACACTTGGGTGAAGAGAGGGGCGGAGCTGTCAACTGACCACTACCTGGTGATGAGTTGGCTCAGATGGTGGGGGAGGATGCCGGTCAGACGAGGCAGTTCCCTTACCCTAACCAGGCAGTCCAAGCAGAACGCGGCTCGGGTGGTCGCCAAGGCAAAAACCTGTGCTTGGGAGGAGTTCGGTGAGACCATGGAGCAAGACTTCCATACGGCCAGATTCTGGTCCACCATCCGGCACCTCAGGGAGGAAAGCAGTGCGCTACCAACACTATCTATAGTGAGGACGGTGTGCTGCTGACCTCTACTCAGGACGTTGTGGATCGGTGGGCAGAATACTTCGAAGACCTCCTAAATCCCAACGACACGTCTTCCAGTGAGGAAGCAGAGTCTGGGGACTTTGAGTTGGCCTCTCAAATCTCTGGTGCTGAGGTCACTGAGGTGGTTAAAAGCTCCTCTGTGGCAAGGCTCCAGGGGTGGATGAGATCCGCCCGGAGTTCCTTAAGGCTCTGGATGTTGTGGGGCTGTGTTGGCTGACGCAGCTTTGCAATATTGTGTGGACATCAGGGGCAGTCCCACTGGACTGGTAGACCAGGGCGGTGGCCCCCTTATTTAAAAAGGGGGGCCGCAGGGTGTGTTCCAACTTACAGGCGGATCACACTCCTGAGCCTTCCTGGTAAGGTCTATTCAGGGGTTCTGGAGAGGAGGGTCCATCGAATTGTTGAACCTCAGATTCAGGAGGAGCAATGTGATTTTCGTCCTGGCTGTGGAACACTGGACCAGCTCTATACCCTTAGGGGGATCCTGGAGGGTGCGTGGGAATTTGCCCAACCAGTCTACATGTGTTTTGTGGATTTGGATAAGGCGTTTGACCACGTCCCTCGGGGGGGCCCTGTAGGGGGTACTCCGGGAGTATGGTGTACCAGGCCCTCTGATACGGGCTGTTTGGTCCCTGTATGGCCGGTGTCAGAGCTTGGTCCGCATTGCCTGCAGTAAGTCGGGCTCATTCCCAGTGAGAGTTGGACTCCCCCAAGGCTGCCCTTTGTCACCGATTCTGTTCATAACATTTTTGGACAGGATTTCTAGGTGCAGCCAAGGTGTGGAGGGCATCCATTTTGGTGGCCTGAGGATCAGGTCACTGCTTTTTGCAGATGATGTGGTCCTGTTGGCTTCATCAGAACGTGATCTCCAGCTTTCGCTGGAGCGGTTTGCAGTCGAGTGCGAAGCAGCTGGGATGAGAATCAGCTCCTCGAAATCTGAGACCATGGTCTTGATTCGGAAAAGGGTAGAATGCCTTCTCCGGGTCAGGGATGAGGTCCTGCCCCAAGTGGAGGAGTTTAAGTATCTCGGGGTCTTGTTCACGAGTGAGGGAAAACTGGAGCGTGAGATCGATAGGCAGATTGGTGCTGCGTCTGCAGTGATGCGGGCGTTGTACTGGTCTGTCGGGGTGAAGAGAGAGCTGAGTCAGAAGGCGAAGCTCTCGATTTACCCGTCGATCTATGTCCTACCCTCACCTATGGTCATCAGTTTTGGGTAGGGGTTGCATGACTTAATTGTTTTTAAAGTCGACAGTCAAGTAATGAAAATCGAGTCGACTTCGACTAGTCGTTGATGACGTCATACACCTGAAGCGGGGGGGGGGGGGGGGGGGGGGTTGTGTTCGGTAGGTTCGCTGGAGTTTTTGACAGTTAGAATTGCGCCCACATTTTCAAAGTTAAACACATTTCTTTTAACAACTGTAGTTTCTGCTTCAGCCCTCTCCCCCCTCCCCCCGCACAGCAGCCGCAAACTCACTGATGCGCCTGCAGCCTCTCGGAGTTCCTGCTGCTCTAAACAGTAAAATAATTATTTCATTTTCTGTTCCTCACTTCTGGTTACCTTCAATGGTGTATGTTTGTTGCAACCACCAGGTACAAAAACAAACTTGTTTTTATTTGACTATTTTTCTGTCCTGCCTGTTTATTATCTTCCTGCATCTCCTCTCAATCCTAAAGAAAAGCTGCTACCTGGGTTCATATATATTCACCTTATGAGTTACCTTTGAACTGCAGTTCTAAAAGATCTACCAACCGCAAAAACAGCGGAGTGCCGCTGCTCGGTGGCCAACTACAACGGGACCGTTTTTGCTGCGGAGTTCGTGCTGGAGCGGAGCGGAGATAGTGGAATCTTGGGGGTGCGTCACCGGAGAACAAAACAGGTGAAGAGCCTCGCTCCGCAGCAGCGAAACGCATCAGGCACAAATAACAGACAGAAAACATGAAAGGAAATGAGCTGACATGAACGATCGCGTGTTTAATTTGTTTTTGAGGTGGTGACACCTGATTTGGCGGTGCTCAGGATGCAGATGTCTGGAGCGCGTCAACGATCAGAGCTTTGCATGCGCAAACTGGTTAAGATTAGGATGGGGTGAGGGGAAGGTAAAATTGCAAGAGGGAAAAGTTCACAGTTTGGTTAAATGTCCGTTTTACCGCTGGTGTCAATACAGACGCTCTGGCACAGCGTGTCGCCTCCGCCTCCCGACGCAGGGGCTCATCAACTGCTGGAGGACTGCATCTTGTCAGTCATTATCATGTGACAGCAACTAGTCGATGACAGGCATAAAAAGTCACTACAGAGCCATGAAGTCGACTAGTCGACTAGTTCATACAACCCCTAGTTTTGGGTAGTGACCGAAAGAACGAGATCACGGATACAAGCGGCCGAAATGAGTTTTCTCCGAAGAGTGGCTGGGCTCTCCCTTAGAGATAGGGTGAGAAGCTCAGTCATTCGGGAGGGGCTTGGAGTAGACCTGCTGCTCCTCTACATCGAGAGGAGCCAGTTGAGGTGGCTTGGGCATCTGGTCAGGATGCCTCCTGGACACATCCCTGGTGAGGTTTTCCGGGCACGTCCAACCCGGAGGAGACCTAAAGGTAGACCCAGGACACGGTGGAGGGACTATGTCTCTCACCTGGCCAGGGGATACCTTGGGATTCCCCCACAGGAGCTGGCCCAAGTGGCTGGGGAGAGGGAAGTCTGGGCCTCTCGCCCTAGGCTACTGCCCCCGTGACCCGACTTTGGATAAGTGGATGAAAATGGATGGATGGGTGATGTGTGCTCTTCTGTTTGCTCCAGTTAGGAGCCTCGCTGCAGAGTTCTGGACCAACTGAAGGCGGTCAAGGGCTTTTTTGTTAAAACATGTGAAGAGTGTGTTACAGTAATCTAGATAGGAGGAGATAAAGGCATGGAGAACCATTTCAAGTTCACATTTTGACACCACCCTTCACAGTTTGGAGACATTTCTTAAGTGATATAAACAGTTTTGGACCAACATTTTTGAGTGACCTTCAAGAGACATTGATTGGTCAAAAACACCCAAATTCCTGTCTTGACGGCAGAGGATAAATGACCAAGTTTTAGACTAATCAGGCCGTTTTATGGAATTTTGTATCTTGCAAAACTCAGAAAATGCCCATCACATGAACATGATTCTTCATCTAGTCCATTAATCAGCTAACGGTTTGCTTGTATGTCTTCCAGAGACACAGACTGAAGGAGACACTTCTTCCCTCTCTCAACCTGCTGACTGAGAGTGCACGCATCCATCGAGAAACCAGAAAGTTTCTAAGATCAAAAGTCAGTGCTGCACCGAGCCAAAGAACTGATCTATGAGTACATGTAGCATGTGATGGCTTAGGTTTCCTTCTGTGTGTTTGTCAAGGTGCTGCCCCCCCTCCGGGATGTAAAAAACAGACCAGAAGTGGGCAACACTCTGAGGAACAAGATAGTGCGTCTTATGACACACATCGATACAGATGTTAAGAACTGTGCTGCTGAGCTCCTCTTTGTTCTCTGCAAAGAAAGTGGTAAGAGAATGTCAGCCCATTTCTATGTTATGATCCTCTGAAGTGTGTTTCAGATTACTGACATTAGAGCATGTGTGTGTGTGTGTGTGTGTGTGTGTGTGTGTGTGTGTGTGTGTGTGTGTGTGTGTGTGTGTGTGTGTGTTAAAATGTTTTGGTGACCTTTCCATCTCTAGATTATGACTTATTGATTCAAAAATTGCTTAAAATGCCCATTTTTAGTTTATGGGAGGAAACCAGAGTACCCAGCAGGCATTGGGGCAACATATAAAATTCATGCAGATGTTTAATTGGACAGCCTAAATTAACACCAGCTGTAGATGAGTGTTTGTGACTGGTTGTTTGTCTCTGTTCCTGACATCAGAAGGCAGATTTGTCATGAACTTGTGTGTACTCAGATTTATTTTTGAATTTTGTCTAAGACAAAAAGGAAAGGCAACATAAAGCAGAGTAAACACTGTTTACTGGGCTGTAAACACAAGTTCACCAAACAAGGAACCAGCTGGATTCCTTAGCTTCACAGACCAGGAACCAGGAGCTGAAGGATCTTGTTCCAGCATCTTGGCCACAATCCTGGATGGCGATCCTGGGCGACTGGGTGGGCAAAAACTTGAAAGCCTGGTCTAGTGGCATCACTACTGCCCATTCTCATCATTCATCAGCCCGGAAACAGGTGTGCCCCTGAGTTTTGTAGGGAAACAACCCTAGGACCTGGACGGTTGCCTCCAACGCTCAGAACATACATGCTTCATCATCACATGACCTGCCAGGGCAAAGCAACAGTGTTATTGCGAAGCTGAACAGCTTAATGTTGGATATGAATATCGTAGTCTTAGAGAACCTCGGTCCACCTAGCTAGCTGAGCCTTGGTCATTTGAAGAGAAGCAGCCCATGAGTGGGGTGTGGTGTTTGCTCTTCAGGTTTTATTGACACACGTGCAGCCCAACATTCTGTGGACTGGTGCAGCAACAACAACTTCATTCTAAATGTGGCAAAAATCAAAAAATCGGTCTAGACTTCAGGAACAAGCTGTCTGCATGTCTAGATCAGAGACGCTCCTGTAGAGATGGTGCAGAATAGAAGATATCTGAGGCACCCCGCACACCTCATCTCAACTCACCACCTTCTACAGCAGCACCGTAGAGAAACAAGCAGCATCTCCCTGAGGCATGAGAGCAGCAACAACTCAGACAGAACATACAAAAGATCATCGGAGTCATACTGCCATGAGCGGAGCACCTGGACCCGAAACGCAGGAGAAGTTAAAGTGAAGGTTTTGGGACCCACAGAATGTAGACTAAAGCTTGTTTTAGTCATGAGTCGTTCTCTTTTTTAGTAATAATAAAAATGATGGATTAGATTTATGTGTCTTTAGGCACTCAAAGCACTTTCCATTCTTCACACATTCACACACCGCTGTGATGATAAGCTGTGTAGCCACAGCCGATCTGGGGCGGTCTGACAGAGGCGTCTTGCCCAAGGATACAACAGCAGCGTACCCTACCGGGAACCCCCCGATCACAAGGCAACCTGCTCTACCTCCTGAGTTACTGCTAACTTCCATCTTGTTTTGCTTTATCTCTGCCCAGTTCCCAGGTTCATCAAGTACACAGGCTATGGTAATGCTGCAGGTCTGCTGGCTGCCAGGGGGCTGCTTACAGGGGGCAGAGACTCTGGGATCTACTCTGAAGATGAAGAATCTGAGACAGAGGAATACAAAGAGGCTAAGGCACAGTCAGTACCATCACAGCACTATCTCTGTAAATTTGAGCCAGATAGCCGGTGTTGTAGAATAAAACAGGATAAGGATGGAGAAGCCTCTGTTTTTCTCATCTGTGTTGTGTTCTGTGTTACCTGGTGTGTCTCTGACCCATTATCTCCAGTATAAACCCAATCACAGGAGTGGTACAGGATGAGCAGCCCGATCCCATGGAAGGAATGACAGAGGAGCAGAAGGAGCACGAGGCCATGAAGCTGATCAACATGTTCGACAAACTGTCAAGGTCACTCAGCAGAATCCTGTTTGAGAAGAAGCTGTTGTGTGCAACTCTTCTGCGAAGTACTTTTTGACATGGTGGCTCTGCATCTGCTTGCAGGACCAATGTGATCCAGCCCATGCACTTTTGCACGGATGGGAAGATGAGAGAGATGAGCAAAAATAACCCGGATACTTCATCCCATAATTCCTTGTTCCAGTCAGAAGAGCCTGCTGATCCAGACAGTGAGGAGGAAACCTAGTTTTTGCAGATGCATGACAAACTTTGGACACACCTGGAAAGTCAGCGACAGATGTTTGTTTGGAGAACGACGAGTTAGTGGGAGGGAGCGTTTAAATCAGTAACAGAGCACTTTCAACATGAATTCAACACCATACGTTTCATATAACAACAACAACAACAACAACACTAACACAGTATCAGTAAAAGGCAGAAAAAGCACTTTAGTTGATAAATTGTCACTTTAAAACCTTTGTTGTAGTGACTGTTGGTTGGGGACATTAGAGAAGAAGCTCTGTGTTGCTAAAGAACATGGATAAAAAGCGTCTTCATTTTTGATGTAAAATCAGATTTGCTTTCGACAAAGGCATCAAATCTGATTTAATTTCAGAGATAAATATTGCAGATGGTTGAGTCACCAGACTGAGGGTTAGGTTGAAAACAGTAAGTTTGTGTTTCTTCACATGTTTGTCAGATAGCTGTTGTGTAATAAAGCCAGTTTGATCAAGCAGTCGTCTCTAGTCTTTGTTTTTCTATGATGGTGTTTCTTTGAAGTCAGCTGAACTGACTAGTCTATGGCGTTTAAAGCGTGCCACAACCCGTGCACGCGCATTGGGTCCACAGCGCACGTGTGAACGGGACTCGCGAGCGCAAATATACATGGCAGCGCGCGTGTGAACGGGACTCGCGAGCGGAAATATACATGGCGAGAGGCCATTTGTGCACTGAGAGGGAGCAAACTGTCTGTGAGCGCACAAGGATGTGCACAAGTGACAAACCTGCGTGCGCGCGTTGTCAACGAGCACACGGCAGAGGAAAACGTGCGCGCGCGGCAGCCTCTGTGCGCGCTCGGCAGCCTCTCTGCGCGCTCGGTTTCTGACTCCTGCTCGCTGGGCTGTAAGGGCTTTTGGCAATCTGGAGGCGTGGCCTGTGGCAGATCTTCTCTGTCCTCTGATTGGTTAGTGTACCCCGCACTTTACCCTCTACCTATCTATATAAAAAAGTCTGCTATTCAGTAGTTGCTGGCATAGCTCAGCTGGGAGAGCGGGTGACTCTCGCCCCGGAGGATCCAGGTTGAGTCCGGGCAAGGAAAATGCAGTAGATGTCATGTTAACTTTTCTTAATTTCAGGTATTTTACAGTTGTGACCGTTCAACTGCCATTAAACGTCCGAATGTTTGCTGGGCAGTGTTTTAAAAAGTGCACATAAGCTAGATGGTTTTAACCATATAAAATTACATCTTTTGTGATACTGGAAAAATACATACTGAAATAAAACTACTGATTGAAAACTTTATGACTGTGGTTGTACAATATATGACTCACTAATACACTGCAAACTCCCTTAGAGTGGGGCTTCCAGAGAGAGAGAGAGAGAGAGAGAGAGAGAGAGAGAGAGAGAGAGAGAGAGAGAGAGAGAGAGAGAGAGAGAGAGAGAGAGAGAGAGAGAGAGAGAGAGAGAGAGAGAGAGAGAGAGAGAGAGAGAGAGAGAGAGAGAGAGAGAGAGAGAGAGAGAGAGAGAGAAAAGTTCTTGCCTCATTAATGAATTGTTTATTTTTTTCAGTATTTAATTGACAAATTATCCTTTCAAATAATTAATTGATGAGTTATATAATTGTCCATTTAGAATTGTTGAATGGACTGAGTCAAGTTTGGTGCACTTTATATATTTCAAAACATGTTTTTTTTAATGATGCATATAAATAATTTAAATGTTAATTTAATGAAATATTTCTATTTTTTCATTACCTCACCCTTGTTTTGACAAAAACAAGAACTTGCTGGATAATATCACGGAGAAACTATTTGTTCACAGTACATGGCTCAGTGAGGATCTGTGTACCAAAGGAGGAGATGCTCAGAAATCTGTCTGCAGATTGTTACAACCCAGACTGGAAGTGGTGGGCTGTAATAAGAAAGGAGACCAAACAGAGGAGTGGGGGTTCAACAACTGATTTATTTAACAAAAGTAAGGATTTACTAAAGCAAGTTAGTGAACAGAAAATGGCCAGTGAGGACTCTCCACCACACAGGAGAGACCCAGTGAAAGCAGAAAAACAGTAGGCTTTGTAGGCAGCACCACACCCTGAGCCCAGGTGCCTCCAAGGCTGCTTAACGAGCTGCCTACAACAGAAGAAAAACACAATTAAACACAAATGAAAACCCAATGAGAGGGTGGGGGCATCACAACACGTTCAGGACTACCCAAACACCAGTAATTCTTGACTGCACTGATCTGCTTTAGTAAATCCTTACTTTGGTTAAATAAATCAGTTGTTGAACCCCCACTCCTCTGTTTGGTCTCCTTTCTTATTACAGCCCACCACTTCCAGTCTGGGTTGTAACAATCTGCAGACAGATTTCTGAGCATCTCCTCCTTTGGTATACAGATCCTCACTGAGCCAAGTACTGTGAACAAATAGTTTCTCCGTGATATTATCCAGCAAGGTCTTGTTTTTGTCAAAACAAGGGTGAGGTAATGAAAAAATAGAAATATTTCAATAAATTAACATTAAAATTATTTATATGCATAATAAAAAAAACATGTTTTGAAATATATAATGTGCACCAAACTTGACTCAGTCCATTCAACAATTCTAAATGGACAATTATGTAACTCATCAATTAATTATTTGAAAGGATAATTTGTCAATTAAATGCTGAAAAAAATAAACAATACATTAATGAGGCAAGAACTTTTAAAACTTGAACATACCTACACCCACAAGTCTATTTTTACCTGGTTAAAACCATCTAGCTTATGTGCACTTTTTAAAACACTGCCCAGCAAACATTCGGACATTTAATGACAGTTGAACGGTCACAACTGTAAAATAATATCACAGGAATTAGGAATGAATAATATGACATCAACTCTATATTACTTGGCCAGACTCAAACCTGGATCCTCCAGAGTGAGAGTCACCCGCTCTCCCAGCTGAGCTATGCCAGCAACTGCTGAAAATCAGATTTTTTTATATAGATAGCTAGAGAGTAAAGTGCGGGGTGAACTAACCAATCAGAGGATAGGGAAGATCTGCCACAGGCCACGCCTCCAGAGTGCCAAAACTCCTCACAGCCGAGCGAGCGGAATTAGAAACCGAGCGCGCAGAGGCTGCCGAGCGCGCAGAGAGGCTGCCGCGCGCGCACGTTTTCCTCTGCCGTGTGCTCGTTGGCAACGCGCGCACGCAGGTTTGTCACTTGTGCACATCCTTGTGCGCTCACAGACACAGTTTGCTCCCTCTCAGTGCACAAATGACCTCTCGCCATGTATATTTTTGCTCGCGAGTCCCGTTCACGCGCGCGCTGCCATGTATATTTTCGCTCGCAAGTCCCGTTCACACGCGCGCTGTGGACCCAATGCGCGTGCACGGGTTGTGGCACGGGTCTGACGCGATACTAGTCACCTTGGTGACTTAGGAGCTCATTAAAAGGCCGTCCTGTTGGATGGAGACCAAGCATCTGTCAGAACCTTCACATGTGGAAAGGTTTCTTCTGCGGATGCAGAGAGGACTGCATCTATCCTTGGATCTTAGGAAAAGAGGGAGCTAAACACAACACCTCATGCTGCTTTACTTCCTTTGAACTGCAGCTGATTAAAGTCGGGCGTAAGGACCCGTTCTACTGCGCTGTGGTCTATCGTCCACCTGGTCCAAACAGTTCTTTCCTTCAGGAGTTTAGTGACTTTCTATCCTCCACTGTGAAACTGTCCAGACTGGTGATTGTTGGTGACTTTAACATCCACGTTGATGATCCCTCTGATCACTTTGCCATGAATTTCTCCAGCCTTATGGACTCCTTCAGCTTCACCTAGCATGTTTCTGGCCCCACACACACACTAGGGGGCACACTCTAGACCTTGTTTTTACCCTGAGTCTAAATGCTGACAGTTTTTGTCCTGAGGACGTTTATATTTCAGATCACCATGCCGTCATCTCACCAGCTGGAGCTCAGAGCCTGCAGCTCTGACAGAGATAATGAAATCATAAAAATAACATTCTCTCCTCAAGGTCCCTCACAGAGCACCCTTTTATCCAAGACTCCTTGCTTCACAGAAGAAAGAAGATTTTAAAATCATTAAATAAATGTTTATTGCTACTTATAATAATTATAAAATAATGAAATGTTTCATTAATCTGTGCTCAATGAAATATGTTTCAGCATGTTTACTTGACCAGGTCATAACATTTGCACTCACACAAGTACAAAGTTAGGTAAAGTTAAGTCCATGACACATAAACAGCCTTTTACCCAGATCAGAGCCTCTGGATCAAAGAAGGCGTGTTTCTGAGATTCTTGGTAATATTCTTCAAACTTGTCAACCTCTGGTTGGCTACACAATCATAACACGAGAACATTAAAACTGGATCACTCTGGTGATTCATCAGTTCTAGAGAAGCTTCAGACCGGCCACCTGGAGCAACACCTCTTTGACATCAAAGCTTTTGACACGTCATCAAAACCTTTTTGAACCTGCGAAGCTGATAAAGCTACCGCTTCCTGCAGAACAAGCTGAGATTGTTTAGACTCCTTAAGAGTCCACCAGAGAAGTGCAGTTCCATCCGTCTGTCGTGACCCGAGACATCTCTGGACTGAAGGGTCGGTGCCACGGTATTCTACAGCCCTCCAGTGCCAGAGGTCATCCGACCTCTCTGACCTTCGGATCCACCAAGAGGGTCTCTGAAAACGGGTGAAGTAGACACACAAATTGCGTTTGATGTGGTTTTTGATAATAATCAACTTCATAGCTTAACGCAAACCAAATTCTTTTACATCCAGAACGCAGCTCTCCTAGATACGGAGGTTCTGACAACATTGCATTCACACATAGCTTTCATGCATCACATCTAGTTCCATCCATCACAGTAAATGCTTAGTTACTTTGACATGTTTTAATTGTTTGTAAAACAAATTCTTACTTTTATAAACCTGAACAAAGTGTGTACAATCCCCTAATAAAGAATCCTAGAATCTTCTGATTAAACACAATAAAGACCAGGCAGGGTTGATATTCTATATTTAGATAGAGTATCACAGCTTAATGGTCATAAGTAGAGGTAATATATCTGTTGAGCTCTTAAAGCACTCAATTTACCAAACCCTACACTTCTCTAAGCCAAGGGTTAGGGCCAGAGACGTGGTGGTGCCCACAATGCTCGCTGGTATTCTATGAAGCTGACTAAATTAGGATCCATATTGTATAAAACTGGGAGTAAAATAATATGTTGCTCAAAACTGTGGAATAAAAGATATTAATGAATCATTTCCAGACTAAAATGTTTTGCCTGAAAAAAGATGTAAACTAATGAAGCCACGTTGGCAGAGGAGTTTCTGAAGATTGGCAGGTTGGTAGTGTCCTCGGGCAAGACACCTCACCCTCCGTGCCTGTTGGTTGTAATCAGAGCGGCCGGTGGCTTCTTTCAGCTGGCTACACTGTAGCTCATCATCATCCAGTGTTGGACTAAGTGTGACTGGCTGTGCCTTAGGGTGTTGCAGAACACTACAGCCT